TAACTCACAGATTGAACCCTGAAACAACCTCTGGGCTGATCTAAGTCAGGGCACGGCTAACTCACAGATCAAACCCTGAAACAACCTCTGGGCTGATGTAAGTCAGGGCATGGCTAACTCACAGATCGAACCCTGAAACGACCTCTGGGCTGATCTATAAGTCAAGGCACAACTAACAAGACCTTCTGAGCTTAAGGTAACAAAAACGCAATGCAAGATTCCTGAGTCAAGTTAATACGTAGACATACCGTGCCGTCTGCTTTTTGTTAGTTGCTCCAGATCGCAGAATAACGAGATTTACTTTTCCAACGTTTTCCTTGACGACATAACGGATCTTCTTGAATCTGAACACAGCTAAAATAAAAAAATAAAAAACACTCAAAATAAAGTCAAAAGTTTCCGGCATTTTGTTTGGGTGTGCTGCTGCTAGACGTCTAGACTTGCCCCAAGTCGACCTCTCTTGTTTTCTCGGCGTTTTTTTAATTCGAGCGAGAAAAAAAACAAAGCGGGCGGCGGACTTTGCGAAAGTCTACTAGACGTCAAATATGTTACGTGGCGGAGCCGGAGGAAGGTCATTATTTTGAGTGAAAACTCAACTTCACATTTTATAACGAAAGTAATCGGTAATTCGCCGATTGGTCCTTTGATTGCACCTTGTCGATGGACAACAGATCATTTATATTAATCACAAGAAAGATGAAACCAGTGCCAATGATGTTGCTGTCAAATTTTAATGTTGTAATAGTAGTTTGTTCGTTTCTGTGTACTTACAATCATCATCATCAATCCTGATAGTAGCCTTGCTTCCAGATGGTACGATTTTAACCGATGGGCTATCGGATGTGAGTTTGGCAAAGAAATTCTCAGACGCCTTTTCAACCTTCTTGTCGTTAATGATATCAATTCTGACTTTACGTTCCTTTTGTCCGGGCTTGAACTTCACTGGCAGCTTATTGCGTGGTCGATAGTCTGACAGTTTCTTTGCTGTTCCATCGACTGTACTCAAACTGCAAAAGTAGAGAATATACACTAAGAATATACACATAGTAGCCATGTGCATTTCAGAAGAATAAATAAATGTTTTTGCATTCATAAAATACCGCTGTGTTCATTTATTCAGTGCACACTCCTTTACTCAGGGTTAGCGTCACATTATTCACACTTAATACACCAACGGTAAAGTAAAAAATCCACAACACGTACAGTACAGCTGATCAAAGGACGCTTGAAAAGATGAACATTAATATTAATCTGTAAAGAATGAAGTCATGTTTCTTAGAGGAATGGTCTCAAACGGGGAAACATTAGATTCAAAAACATTCACTTACAAGACTGTTGTTGCTTGTTGAAGGTCTCCAGATCTCACAATCTTTACTGTCACATCATTAACATCGCTTTCAACTACTTTGTAGTTTAGTGGATGAAATCGAACACTTACTGTTGAGATACAGAAGAGGAAGTTTGAATGAGAATTTCATTAATCCAGATTGCTTTGTAGAATGTCTGTTATATCTCGCGTTCGGATTGGTGGGTAGCACATTCTTTATATATATATATTCATTTGACCTACATGACATTGTTCATTTATGGATAACTATTGAGTCGTACCTGGACAAGGAACATTCTTATTACAGACTCTGCTCTGGCTTGAATCTCCTACACATTTTTTCCCACCGTTAGCTGGTGCAGGGTTGGTGCATGTTCTGGTACGAGACTGAGTTCCACTCTTGCAAGACTTG